GAATTATTATTTATTTTTTTTTTTTTGAGGAGAGAGAGAGAGAGAGAGAGAGAGAGAGAGAGAGAGAGAAAGCCACCAGGTCTGGGACTCTAACCGTGGTTGGCCATGTGAGAGTGTCCAGAGCCTTAGGCACCACGCCACCTGCTGGTCCCTATTTATTTATTTTTAACTTGATCAGAGAGGGACAGAGGGGGAGTGAGACAGAGAGAGAGAGAGGGAAAGTGAGAAAGCAAGCTGCCCGGTCCAGTACTTGAATGTCAGTTGGCCATGTGGGAGCCCAGTGTCCTTAACCGCCATGCCACCTGCCGGCTCCAAGATAGACTTCTTAACCCTTTCTAAAACTGTTTCTCTTCTCTTCTTTCTTCCTTCCTTCCTTTCTTTTCTTTTCTTTTCTTTTCTTTTCTTTTCTATTTTTCTTTTTTTTTTATTCTTTATATTCATGACTGAGCTCCTGCACACACATGTAACCATGGGAGAGAGAAAAAGAGAGAAAGAAAAAGAGGAGCATCTTCCAGAGTCTGGTCATGCCATGACCCCCTTCCTGCAGTCCTGCAGCCTGTCAGGTCTTGGGTATTCACACCAGCACCTGGCATCCTTCAGGCTGACTAGGCTGTAAACTTGGCTTCTCTTGAGCAGCACATTGCCTCTGTGCCATTCAGTTAGCCCATAAAGCCGTTTCTTTCTAAGTGATCCCACCTCATCATCCAACTAATTCCTTAGGCTCAAGCCAGGATTTCATTATTTATCTCTTTCTCTCCCCTCTCACATACAGTTTATCAGTATTCCTATTTCCATTGTCTCCAGAATATATTCTAGATTCCACACCACCAATCATACCACCTTCATCTATCTTCTGGCTTCTGCAAAACCTCTTAAATTGTCCTCTCTGCTTCTTGCTCCCAAACAATCTGTTCTCAGCACAGAGGCCAGGCAGATCTTTTAAAAATGTAAATAAATGACATAATGTGACTCCCTCTCCTTAAACCCCTCCTGTGGCTTTTCAATAAAATTAGAATGAAATCCTAACTTTAAACTAAGACCTCCAAGACTCTTCAGATGGGCCCTAAGCGCCTGTTTAATTCCTGTGAATCTCACCTCACCCAACTCATGATTTTTCGTTCACACTTTTTTTTTTTTTTTTTGGTACTAGACCAGTGGGCAATTCCTGTGAATCTCCCCTCACCCAACCCATGATTTTTCGTTCACACTTTTTTTTTTTTTTTTGGTCATAGAGCATAGGGCAGAAAGAGACAGTGAGAGGGAAAGTGAGAAATCACCCAGAGGGATGGCCATGCTGCAACCCCTTCTCCATTTTCTTCTCAGGATTTTAGGCATGCATGCACACACATCTGACATGAATTTCAGGTCTCTAGGTCTGGGATTCAAACTGCTGTTAGCCATAAGGGAGTCCAGAGCCACCTGCTGACCCCACAAATTTTTAAGTGTGTAATACTTTATTGTTGACTACAGATATAATGCTGCATGGTACATTTCTTTCTTCTTTTTTTTTTTTTTTTTGGAGAAGTTTTTGCTATAGGGCATATGTGCTTGCCAGAAAGACAGAGAGAGACAGAGAGACAGAAAGTGAGAAATCCCCCCCCCTCCCCCAGGGGAGATGGCCATGCCACAATCCTTTCTCCTCCATTCTCCTCTCGGGATCTTGGGTACGCACGCACACATGCCCAGCATGAGTTTAAGTCACTGGGTCCGGGACTCGAACCCAGTTGAGTACATGGGAGTCCAGCGACATAGCCATTGCACCAGCTGCTGGTCCCTATTTTAGTTGATTTTTATGTATGGTGTAAAATAAGGCCAATTCCACTGTTTTGCATGTGGATATCACGTGTCCCAATACCATTTGTTGAAAAGGCTCTCCTTTGCTCATTGAGTCGTCTTGGCCCCCCATTGTCAAAGATCAGTTGACCATGGGGACCAGCAGTTAGCATAATGGCTATGTCGCTGGACTTCCATGTAGTTGACCGTGATTCGTGTCCTGGACCCGGTGGCTTAAAACTCACGCCGAGTGCGTGTGCGTGCGTGCCCAAGATCCCGAGAGGAGAATGGAGGAGAAGGGATTGTGGCGTGACCATCCCCCCTGGGGGGTGATTTCTCGCTTTCTATCTCTATGTCTCTCTCTGTCTGTCTGGTGAGTGCATGCACCCTATAGCGAAAAAACCTCTCAAAAAAAAAAAAAATCAGTTGACTATTTATGTGTACATTCATTTCTGGGCTCTCTATTCCTTCCCATTGTCTATATGTCTGTCTTTATGCTGATAACATACTGTTTTGATTACTGTACTTTGTAATGCATTTTGAAAACAGGCAGTGTGATTCTTCCAGCTTTGTTCATTCTCAAAATTGATTCAGCTATTCATGATTTTTTGTGGTTATTTAAAGTAGGAAAAACAAACTATTTGTTTTCCCTCCTCTATTGCTATTTCTTTCACACTCAGCACTCAATTCTGCTAGTCCCCAAAATGTTTAGGTGTCTCCAATACTGAGAAATCCTCTGACAAGAGCTGGATGTCGTATAATTAAATTCTATCACTATCTTCCAGGAATTGGTCAGATTGCACTGGTTGAGGGGTTAATCCCACAGAACTGTTCCCTACTTCAGATGCCATTTACAAGCCCCAGGTTATCACCTGTACTTCTTACTGATAAGCTATAAATTAGAGTTTCCTATGACCTCCTTATTGGGGTGCATGCACTAGCCAGAAAGCCAGAGAGACAGAAAGCGAGAAATCACTCTCCATACATGTACATGTGTCTGGTGTGAGTTTTAAGCCCTTGGGTCCGGGACCTGAACTGCTGTCAACAATAGGGGAGTCCAGTGACATAATCATTATACCATCTTCTGGTCCCAGTTTCCAATATCTTACAAAGGACTTTGTGAATTTCTGTGTTTGTGAAGGCAAAGAGAGTTCAGGGCTCTCTATCTCGTCCTGTTACTGATGTCACTTCTCTGAGAAGATATTTTGAACTATTCCCAACCTCTATATACTTTTAATGAAAAAAAAATCTTCTGGGGACTGATATTTCAAATACCATACTTATACTTGGAAATACTTTATAATAATTTATTGATATTTTCTTTGTTTCATTTAGATAAAATGAAATACCCTATTTCCCTTAATCTTATACCTTGTATAGAACTGGCGGGAACCAAAGGATTTTTGCATTTGTTCTACATTCCGAGTAAGTCTGAATTTTTGTTTTTGTAGATAAAGTAAATGGCTAGACAAATAGCTGTGATAAACATTTCCAAATATACGTGTATTAGTTTTCTATTACCATGTAACAAATTACCACAAGTTTAGTGTTTTAACATAATATACTTTATCATATTACGGTCTCTGTAAGTCAGTAGTCTGTGACTTGTGTCACCATCAGCATCTTCCACAAGGTGTTGACCAGGACTAGGCTCTCTTCTAAATGTTCAACTAGGAAAGGATGTCTGTCTAAGCTCATGTAGTTGTTGGCAGTACCCAGTTCCTTGGGGTTGCTGACCATCCCTCAGCTCCACATGCACATTGTGAATATGACTACTTATTTCATCAAAGCAGCCAGAGCAACAGTTAGCTAACAAGATGGAAGTCACTCTTGCATGTAATATAATCATGCAAGTGGCACTCTGTCACATATGCTGTATTCTGTTGGTTAGAAGCAAGTCACTAAGTCAGCCCTGAGTAATGCAGAGGGAATTATATAAGGATATGGGGGTGAGAATGAAAATAACCTGAAACTTCTAACAATTTGTTTATTTAATGATTTCTAGAGAGATTATTTTATTATTATTATTATTATTTTTTGCTATAGGGTGCATGTGCTTGCTGGAGAGACAGAGAGATGGAAAGTGAGAAATTACTCCCCAGGGGGATGGCCACACTGCAAACCCTTCTCCTCCATTGTCTTCTTGAGATTTTGAGCATGCACTCACATGTACCCAGCGCCAGTTTCAAGCCTCACTCCTTGAAGTGAGGGACTTGAACCATGGTCAACCATGTGTGAGTCCAGAGTCATAACCATTACACCATCTGCTCATCCCTTATTTATCTTTTTAAGAAGTTTTTGCTTTAGGGAATGTGTGCTTGCTGGGGAGAGAGAAGACAGAGCTAGAGACAGAGACAGAGACAGAGACAGAGACAAAGAGAAATCACCTCCAGGAGGGATAACCACACTGCAATACTTTGCCTTCATCTTCCTCCCGAGATCTTGGGCACACATGCACACATGCCTGGCATGATTTTCAAGCCACCAGTCGCGGACTTGAGCCATGGTCAGCCATGTGGAAGTCCAGGGACATAACTGCTATGCCATCTGCTGGCCCCAGACTTCTAACAATTGAATAGATACATTCTGGGCCAGTCCTATAGCCTAGTATTTAATGAGCCAAATCGTACATGGCTCACTACAGATCAAATTCTGGCCCCCATGACTTGAAAACATGCTAAATGTGTGCCCCCCAAATCTTGACAGAATGGAGAAACAGAGGAAAAGGAATTGCAGTGTGATCATGCCCTGTTGGGGGATACTTTCTTCCTCTATCTCTATGTCTCTGTCTCTCTTTGGCAAGTACATGCACCCTCTGGCAATGAAAACAAACACAAAAAAGGGCAAGCAAGTGGCTTGGTGGTTTATTCGCTGGATCCCACATGGCTGACTGTGCAGTTTGAGTCCTGGACCCAGCAGCTTGAAAACCACCACACTATTGGCTGATCCAGCTCCTCTACCTTTTTTTTTTTGGAGAGGTTTTTGCTATAGGGCGCGTGCGCTCGCCAGACAGACAGAGAGAGACATAGAGACAGAAAGTGAGAAATCACCCCCCAGGGGGGATGGTCATGCTGCAATCCCTTCTCCTCCATTCTCCTCTCAGGATCTTGGGCACGCATGCACATGGCCCGGCGTGAGTTTTAAGCCCCCGGGTCCGGGACGCGAACCGTGGTCAACTACGTGGCAGTCCAGCGACATAGCCATTACGCTAACTGCCGGTTCCCTTTTTTTTTTTTTTTTTTTAAAGGAACAAAGACCTAGTTTATTTTTTAAAAAAGGGGGTGGGAATCACCAAAAGAAATTCTATCTCAGAAAAAAATATTCGAGTTGCTCAAGAGTCAAATTCCAATCTGAGACAGGTCACTTATACATATTTAAAAACAAACAAAAGTTTGGTGCTGGAAGAGCAATAAGCAGACTGTAAAAAGAAGAGGTAAGGGAGCTAGGTGAGGATAACTAGAATAATGTGGGTGAGGGCAAGTGGAGTCCATAACTCACACACAGAATGTCGCAAAGAGCATGGTCCCAAATCCTGGATGTTTAAAAATCTCAGGGAGACAGTGACTTTCTAAATATTGCACTCATTATAGACTTCTGCCTTTGTGAAAATATTCCTTGTGCACTTGATGTTTTCTTTGTCTTCTGAATTTTCTATGCATTTTTGGTTAAGATAGCAGAAGTGGGTAATGAAGGTTTTCTTCATACAGGTCCGGGTTTTCCTTTTTTGGAGAGTTTTTTGCTATAGGGCGCGTGCGCTCGCCAGACAGACAGAGAGAGATAGAGAGATAGAAAGCGAGAAATCACCCCCTAGGGGGGATGGCCACGCTGCAATCCCTTCTCCTCCATTCTCCTCTTGGGATCTTGGGCACGCATGCACACGCACCAGGCGTGAGTTTAAGCCACCAGGTCCGGGACGCGAACCACGGTCAACTACGTGGGAGTCCAGCAACATAGCCATTACGCTAACTGCTGGTCCCCGGGTTTTCCTTTTTCAACTTGGAGTGAATGTTTGAAATGTAGTCATCATAATTTTCATGTTGGATAGAGAAACCAACTTTTTCAGCTAGATTACAAAACTGGTTTAAAGTATTCCCTTGGCAGAAGTGAATACCATTGCTTTCCCCCTGTGTTGGAGTAATGTCTTTATTGCATCAACAAGGCCAGCTCTGTACTGGTCCAGAAAGAGGTGAATGAATACCAGGTACTTTTCTCATGGATAGCTTAATTTAATCCTCATAGCATTCCTTTGCGACAGTTTTTATGATATTACTGTCCACATTTTATGGCTAAGGGAACTGAGGCATAGAGAGGTCTGGAGACCTACAGCTGTAAGTGTTGGGGCTGGGGTTCATGGCTGCACCATATGACTTAGGGTCTGTGTCTAGCCACTGTTCTATACTGCCTCCAGCCAATCACCCCTGTGCATGAAAGGGGCAGTGACAGGTTTAGGTGGGAGAGGCGGGTCATTAGACGACTGGCGTTAGGCAAGTGGATCTGGTCTAGAAGGCCATCCCTGACTCATGGCGTCCATGGTGATCTTTCTCTTCCTTTTTCTGAGCTCAGCACCACCAGAGACGCATTTGGAGGTTCCCCTGGTTTCCTACATCCCAGAGATGGTCTCCCGCCCCGACTCTAAGTTTCTTGAAGGCAGAGGATACCTCTCATATATCTTTGCCTCCTCCACACCACGTGAAAAAGAGCGAGAACATGCCTGACTAGACAGCTGCTTGCTCCCTGGGGAAGAACCCCAGTTCCTCTCATTTAATTCTATTGTATGTAGTTTTACTGTGGAACATTCTAGCTGGTTACAATCTACTAGCTGCTTCTTGGAACTTTAGTTTTGCCTTTTTCAGAACAAGGATAACAATACCCACCTTATAGTAGTTGTAATGATGAAATAAAATAGTGTTAGAAAATCATAGGGAACATTTTAAGATACTAATTAAGAAGTTAATTATTATATATAAAAGAATATCTTGTTTGAAGGGCTAATGGGATATTCTTTTCTTTTTAAGGGAGAGACTTAAAAAAATTGTATTTTAATCTTTATATATCTGTCAACTCTATGAATCTTCCAAAGCGCAAAGAAGTGATTTGCCGAGGATTTGATGATGATTATTCTTTCTGCAAAGCTGTCAAGGGAGGTAAGCATTTGGTTCATATTATTATTTTTCCTTTATTATTATATTTGTACATTCAGTTGCTATATGTCATTTAGATTGTAAACAGACTTTACCCGCTATGATAATACATCTCAGTCCAGTTGAGAATACTATACACATCCTCATCAACAGATAATAAATCATATCTGTATCCCAGAAATATCTTACTTCTCCATTTTTACCCCCAAATTATCTTTCCCTCTTCCCCTCCCACACTTTCCTTCCACTTTGTCTCTAGTGTCCATTATAATTTTTAATGTTTTTATGTCCTCCAGTCTTTCAGTCTCTACCATAGAGTGTGGACAGTTGGCATATGTTAAGTGGAGACATATAATGTCTCGCTTACATAGCCTGACTTGCTTTGCTCAGCAACAAATTTTCCACATTCATCCACTTTCTATCAAATTCCAGGGCCTTGTTTTTTTTTTTTAATGGCTGAATAATATTCCGTGGAGTATATGTGTCACACTTTTTCAATCTATTTGTGGACATTAGGGTTGGTTCCATGTCTTAGCAATTGTGAATAGTGCTGCAATAAATATAGTTGTACAAGCATTTTCCTACTGAGCATTCTCCTTTGGGTAGATACCCAGGAGTGGAATTGCTGGATCATATGGTAGTTCTATTTGAAGATCTTTGAAGAACCTCCATATGGTTCTCCACAGTGGCTAGATCAATTTAAATTCCTACCAACAATGAAGGAGTATTCCTCTTTCACCACATCCCCACCAGCACTTATTATTTATTTATTTTTAATCTTTGCCATTCTGACTAGTGTTAGATGGCATCTCACTGTGCTTTTGATCTGCATCTCCCTTACAATGAGGGATGTTGAGCATTTTTTTCATATGCTTTTTGGCTGTTCGTATGTCTTCCTTAGACAGTTGTTTATTCAGCTCATTTTCCCATCTTTTAATTGGGTTAATAATTTTCTTCTGGTTAAGCCATTTGAGTTCTCTGTATATTCTGGTTATCAGCCCTTTACCTGAGGCACAGTTAACAAATATTCTCTCCCATTATGAGTGTTGTCGATTCACACTAATTACGGTATCCTTTGCTGTGCAGAAACTTCTTAATCTGATGTAATCCCACCTGTCTATTTTGGAGATTATCGCCTGTGCTTTGGGGGTCTTACTTAAGAAGTCTTTGCCTAACCCTATGTCTCCCAGAGTTTCCCCAGTGTTTTCTATCAGTAGTTTTATAGTTTGCAGTCTTAGGTTTAGATATTTGATTCACCTTGAGCAGATTTTTGTTAATGGTGGCAGATAGGGGTTCAGATTCATCTTTCTGCAGGTGGATACAGAACTATTTGCTAAGGAGGTTTTCCTTTTCCCACTGGATTGACTGGTACTCTTTGTCAAAAATCAGTTGGCTGTATGTTTTGGGGTTTATTTCTGGGGTCTCTACTCTGCTCTATTGGTCCTCATGTCTGTTTCTGTGCTAATACCATGCTGTTTTGATTATCACAGCTTTATAATATATTTTTGGGTCAGGAAGTGAGATGCCCCCACACTACTCTTCTTGCACAGGATGGCTTTGTCAATACAGGGTCTTTTATGATTCCAGACAAATTCTATGATTGTCTTTTCTAGATCTGTGAAGAATGTCTCTTGTAATTTTATAGGGATTGAATTAAATATGTAGATTAATTTGGGAAGGATTGCCATTTTGATTATATTAATTTTGCCAATCCAGGAACATGGGATGTCCTTCCAATTTTTTTTCTTTTTCTTTCTTTTTTTTGGAGAGGTTTTTGCTATAAGGTGTGTGTGCTCACCAGAAAGACAGAGTCAGAGAGACAGACAGTGAGAAATCACCCCCAAGGGGGATGGCCACACTGCAATCCCTTCTCCTCCATTCTCCTCTTGGGATCTTGGGCACACATGCACATGTGCCGGGAGTGAGTTTAAGCCACCAGGTCCAGGACTTGAACCACAGTTGGCTACATGGGAGTCCAACGACATAGCCATTATGCCAACTGCTGGTCCCTGTATGCATTTATTACTTTGGGAAGTTTTCTTGTGGATACTATTGGGTGTTCTGTGTATACTATCATATCCATTTACTTCCTTCTCTTGTCTGATTGCATTGGCTAGGACTTCTAGTATTATGTTGAATAGGAGCAGAGAAAGTGGACAGCCTTGTCTTGTACCATTTAGTATAATGTTAGCTGCAGGTTTTTCTAAGATGATTTTTATTATGCTGAGAAATGATCCTTCTATGCCAGTTTTCCTGAGAGTCTTAATCATAAAGGAATGTTGTATTTTGTCAAAAGCTTAGAAATGATCATGTGGCTTTAATATTTCTTTCTGTTAATATGGTGCATTACATTTATGGTTTTGCATATGTTGAACTACCCTTGAATCCCTGGAATAAAGCCTACCTGATTGTGATGAGTAACCTTTTTTTATATGCTGTTAAATATGGTTAGCAAGTATCTTGTTGAGAATTTTTGCATCTATAGTCATCAGAGATATAGGTCTGTACTTTTCCTTTTTTGCTGTATCCTTATCCATTTTGGGAATAAGGTAATGGAGGTTTCATAGAATGACTTTGGAAGGTTTCCTTCCTTTTGGATCTCTAGGAACAGTGTGAGTAGAATGGGGGTTACCTTTTCTTTAAAAGTTTTGTAAAATTCAGAAATGAAGCCATTGGGACCTGGGCTTTTCTTTGTTGGAAGGTTATTTATTACTGATTCAATCTCCTTGCTTGTTATAGGTCTATTTAGGCTTTCTATGTTCTCTTGTGTCAATCTTGGTAGATTATATGTGTCCAGGGATTTGTCCATCTCATCCAAGTTTTCTTCTTTGTTGGCTCATAATATCCTCTAATGATGTTTTGTATTTCTATTATGTCTGTTGTAATGTTGCCTGATTCATTGCGAATTTGATGTATCTGGTTCCTTTCTCTCTTCTTCCTAATTTGTCTAGCTAATGGTTTGTCAATCTTACTTGTCTTTTCAAAGAACCAGCTTTTGCTTTGATTTATTTTCTGTATAGTTCGCTTATTTTCTTTTTCATCTATTTCTGCTCGAGTCTTTACTATTTCTTTTCTCCTGGGATTTTTAAAAAATTTATTTTTCTGTTGCTGTTTTTCCAATTCCCTGAAGCATGGTGTTAGGTTGTTCTTTTGCCACCTTTCCACCTTTTTCTTGTGTGCATTAATTGCTATGAACATCCCTCTTATGACTGCTTTTGTGGTATCCCATAAATTATGGAAACTTGTATACTCATTATCATTTGTTTCCATGAGTCTTTTTTTTTTTTTTTGGAGAGGTTTTTGT